ATAAGATGGTGCCAATTCTAGGTATGAAGTTTGATAACCCAATGCAATTGAAGCTATGTCTAACCAATTATGCAGTGAAGAATGGGTATGATTTGTGGTATGAAAAAAGTGATCATAACAGGTTACTGGTGAAATGTTGTAAAGGTAAGAAGAACAAGAAGAATAAAGGTTGTCCCTTTAGGTTGTGGGCAACCTGGATGAGCAATGAAAGGTCATTCCAGATTAAATCTTTAATTGATAACCATAATTGCTCAAGAGTCTTCAAATTTGGGTCAATTGTTAGCTATAAATGGATAGGGAATCATTTCATGAATGAGATACTCCAGAAACCAAAGATGAGTGTGAGGAAATTGAAGGCTAAAGTTAGCAAGACATTTAATTTGATTGCAAGTGTGGGACAGTGCAGAAATGCTAGGAGGTATGCATTTAAGGAGATAGAGGGTACTTTAAAGGAACACTATGCTAAAACTTGGAGCTAGAAGAGCTAAGAAGGACTAACCCTGGATCAATAGTGAAGATGGATGTAGATGTCATGCCTGATGGAGCCACTTACTTCTTAAAGTTCTATGTATGTTTAAAGGGTGTGAAGGATGGATGGATTAAAGGTTGTAGAAGGGTAATTGGACTAGATGGCTGCTTCTTAAAAGGTGTTTGCAGAGGTCTATTGCTTGTTATTGTAGGTAGGGATGCAAACAACCAAATCTACCCTCTTGCTTGGGCTGTGGTTGCAGTGGAGAGTAAGGAAACATGGAAGTGGTTTGTTGACCTTCTCCTTGATGACATTGGAATGGGAAATGGACATGGGTTGACATTAATATCAGACCAACACAAAGTAATGATTTTATATGCTCTCTTTATTTAATACTTAATTTATATGAAGTTTATGTTTTGTTTGTAATGCTAACAGGGATTACGTGAGGCTGTCAAGGAAAGGGTGCCTGCAGCAGAGCATAGACAATGTGCCAGACACATATGTGCTAACTTCATGAAAAAAATTCAAGGGTCAATAGTTCAGTAAACTTTTCTGGTATGCTGCTGCTTCTACTACCCATGCTAAATTTGAGCAGCATATGAATGAAATCAAGAAGATAGAACCACTTGTCTATGATCATCTAATTGATAGGGACCCTAAAACTTGGAGTAAAGCATTCTTTCAGACTGATAGGGCATGTGATGCATATGAAAATGGTGTATCTGAGAGTTTTAACTCAATCATTGGAGCTGCCAGGAAGAGACCTCTAATCACTATGTTAGAGGAAATTAGAATTTATGTGATGGAGAGACTTTGTATACAAAAAGTAAGGGAAGTTCTTGGGGAGACTTAAACATATGTCCTGCCATTACATTAAAATTGTCCAAGATTAAGGAACTTCAAAGGTTAGTGGTTGAATACCTTTTATATATGTGTGTGACATTCAATTGTGTATACTTACATTTAAGTGTGTGTGGACAGATTTTGGAGAGTTGTACCATCTGGTTATCTATAACTTGAAGTGAGACTTTTATATGATGCATATGCTGTAGACCTTGGTAAGAAGACATGTGGATGTAGAGGTTGGCAATTAACTGGTTACCCTTACGTGCATGCATATGCTGCCATTTCAAACCTCAATAGGGCTCCAGAGGACTATGTATCACCATGGTCGACCACAACCATGTTTTGTAATGCCTACATGTACACCATTAAGCCACTAAATGGTAGTGATATGTGGCCTGATGTGGATTACATCAAGCCATTGCCTCCCAAAAAGAGAAGGATGCCAGGAAGACCATCAACAAAAAGGAAAAGGGATCAGATTGAGAGTGAACTAAAGGGCAATAAGCATATAGTCTCAAAAAGGGGTATTGTTATGAGATGCAGCATATGTAGAGAAACATGGCATAATAAAGCAAAATGTCCTCAAAAACCAATTGGGGAATCATCTAATCCAAAGCCAAAGTCAAAAAATAAAAAAGCCAAAAAAGAAGGTATTTCTCTTCCTTTACCTTTTGATTACAATATAACAACTTCTAATGCTAACATTTGAATTATTTCATAACAGGTAAAGAGAAGGTTGAATTGGTTCAAGAAGTTGATGTGGAAAGTGATAGTGACAGTGAAGTTCCAGGGCCGGTCCAGACGGTGGGCAACCCGGGCGACCGCCCAGGGCCCACGTCTCCAGGGGGCCCAAAATTTATGGGCTATGTGGTGTATATATATATAAAAAAATTATTACCTAAATGATTTTCAGGCCCTAAAGTTGGTTCAAACTCAAACTAGTTCAAAAGATAAACAATATGGCTTGCTTTTTATTGCTAACTGAACACGTTTATAATGAAAAATAAATGATATTTTTTTGAATCTTTATTATATTTCTCTTTAAGGGGCCCTATTTTTTATTTTCTCCCTGGGCCCCATATACGTTTGGACCGGCCCTATGAAGTTCAAAGGGAGCCTGATAGTGAGGTGGAGTCTTATGAAGTTGATTTTGAAGAGGGTAATCATATATATGAAGATGTAGATCAACCTGAGGTTGAAGCTGAAGTTGAAGGACAGGTTGAAGTTGGAGGGGTTGAAGAACATGTTGAAGTTGAAGCACTTGTTGAAGTTGAAGTTAAAGAAGGTGTATACCAGGCTGTAGTTGTAGATCAAGTTGAAGTTGAAGTTGAAGGACAGGGTGAAGGTCAAGAAGGTGAAGAACTTGTTGTACTTCAAGATCCAGTTGGACATGATGGCCAAGGACATGCTGCAGTTCAAGATCCAGTGAAAGAGGAGCATATACAAGAAGTACCATCATTTCAAGTTCTATAGGGAAAGAGAAGAAGGAAACCTTCAGAAAGAATCACAAAAATTCAGATAAGAAAAAAGTGGGAGGGGAAATAGGGGAGTAGTGGTGAAAATCCAATGGAATTGGAATAGAATTTGACGCTTTGTCATTTTTTGGCATCATTGACTGGGAATCTTTTGTCTAGTAATATGTGTAACTTTTGGACTTGTGTCTAGTCATATGTGTAAGTTAGTGTGTACCTTTTGGCAGTAATGCATGTGTAACTGTGTTAAATTCCAATGTTTTGTAAACAATGTTTCCTGGGAATCCAATGTTTGATTATATTACATTCCCATGTTTGATTATATACCATCCCAGTGTTTAATTATTTTTCATTCTAATACATGTAACAAAAACATCAGAAGCAAAAACATATAACAAAAGTTCCATCCATTCATTACATACATAAGCATACACAAATCAAGTTTTATTCATGAACTACATCATTCAACCCTAATACATCATGAACTACAATCAAATCAACATTTTCACATACAATACAAATATCAAAATCAGTTCCACTTTGTGAGTAAACAACTTCCACTTGACTTTGTCCAATTCTAGTCTATTAACCAAATTGGTGTTGTTTTCTTGTTCGATCTTCATCCTACATATGCTTATTTCATTCTCCAAAGTGCAAATTTTCAAGGTTAGATTACAGCTTTCTTCTGGTTTCATCTTGTAAGGCTTTCTTCCATCTGTCATCCCTTGATCCTCATCTAGTCATTGCCATAATTTACAGCTTGGACTTTTTCCATTCTTGAAGAAAAATTAAAAAAATGTTAAATTAAAGGATGAAGAAGAAGAAAGGGTATTCAACAAGATGAAGAAGAAGAAAGTTGCAACGTATTCAACAATACTGATTACCATCGAGTTTTGACAAACTCTAAATTTTCTTCCATGGTTGTCAGGTGTTCTTGAAGTCTTCACACGAGATGGTAAGTTGCAATCACATGGATGATCAGCTTGAAATTCATCTTGTCGTTTTGAAGAATAAGATGAGGAAGAAGAAGCCATCGTCGATCTAGGGTTCAAAATCAGGGGTGTAATCGTATGACTTCTTATACTGTAAACGAAGAGAATATATGCACAATGCCATGTAGGTGCAACGTATTCAAGTCATGTGTCATGTAGCTGCCACATAAGCAAAAACAAGTGATAGTCGGTCATATTACCTAAATGTGAACATAAATAACAAGCTGGTTTCATTAATGAGAACAAAAAAAAAAAGAACATTACCTATATATGGACAATCGAAATAGTTAGTTACCTTCATAAGTCATTTTCCCTTTTTTAGCCGTGTTACATGAAAACACGAAAAAACACGAATAGACACGTTTTTAATGACTTTTTTTAAGCTATGGCTATAAACAAGTTATTGACTTTTACAAAATTGGTCCATAATATATTATAAATACAAAATTTAACCCAAAAGTATATATATATATATATATATATATATATATATATATATATATGTGTGTGTGTGTGTGTGTGTGTGTGTTTATACGTGTTTGTACGTGTTACATGTCAACACGAATTTATATCGTGTCTTATACGTGTCTAAACATGTAAATTCGTGTTTGACATGTGTAAGACACGAAACACGAATTTAAAATATGTGTCAGACATGAATAAACATGAAACACGAATTTATAAAACACATACACGGAAAACTCGTATCGTGTTCGTGTCGTGTATGAAATTGCTAGGGTCTAGCTGAGAGGACTGTGTACAATTCTAGTTGGTTTATCTATTAGTTCAAACTTTTTTATTCTCAAAATATGTATTTTTGTTTTCGAAATTTAATTTCATAACGTATAATTATTTCAAAAATAACTTTAACAGAATCTTCGAACATGTATCAGAATTTTCGAGCCCACTTTATTTTCAAGAATCTATTTCTAACATAAAGTGATTTCAAAAATTGATTTTATTGGTAATTTGGAACTCATTTATTATTTTTTGTTGAATTATTCTTTTTAAAATATTTCTATTTTTAATCTATTTAAAGAAACATTTTCAATCTCATGGGTTAAATTTCTAGAATTCTATACATTTTTAGTGTATATAAGACCGTGTTTGTTTACCTCTTAATTAAAAAATTAAGAGATAACCTCTTAAAAATATGGTTTGTTTGGTAACCCCTTATAAAATACATCTGAATTTTAAAAATGCCTCTTAAAAATTAAGACCTCAAAGCGCATCTGAAAAAGAAAAAGATGGAAGTACCCCAGTCTTCTCAATATCACGCATGCGTTGTTTTCTTCTCATCGACACACACATACCACATTCATCCCCAATCTAGTGAACCTCTGTTCCCTCCCCTCCATCGCATTCGTCGGCATCCTCTCCTCCATCGCAGTCGTCGGCATCCTCTCCGCCTCCAGATCCGACGGTTGCGCCACATCGACTCTAACTCCACCACCGACGACCGTCGCCGGAAGCAAAGCCATCCGGTTCCCTCGTCAAAACACCGCTCTTGGTAAGATTTTTTTCCCTAAAACTTGATTATTTTCGCTGGAATGGTTGTGATGTTGGTAGAAATTAGATTCTTTGCCCTAATGTTCGGCTGTTCTTTTTTTTTTTTCCAGTCACATGTCATCGTCTTCATCCTTTTTTATTTTGGATTTCTTATTTATGGGTCTTTATTTTCTATTTGCTTTTTCGTTCAATAGTCAAGATGCCCCGATGAAGGATTAGATTCAGATTAGGTAATTGTTTTGTTTAAGATTTGGTTATTGCTCTTGTGATTTGCAGGTTTTGTGTGTGGTTTGGTGGTGGGCTGAAGCAAGAACGAATGATCTACGTTGATAGAAAATTAGATAATTATGGTCTCAAGCATGGTTTTCTTGTTTCTGAATTAACTAATGTTGTAATTTGATAGAAAATTAGTTTTTGTACTTTGATAGAAAATTAGTTGAAGCATGAACGAAGTGTTGTGAATCAAATCTGGTGTTTATGTGAATCCGGATACATTTTTCTGTCAATATGAAGGTTGTTGTTTGATTTTGTGATTTTTGTGAAGTAAATGTTTGTTTGATTTTGTTATTTTTGGGAAGTAAAGGTATTTTTGATTTTTGTGAAGTAATGTATGGTTTGATTCTTTGATAGTTGAGAAAAAATTGAAAGTAAAAGGCTAGAAATGGTTATAGTTTTCAATTTACCATGTCTTGATAAGGAAAATATTGAAAGTACAATGTTGTAGTTATAAGTAGAATGCTAGTAATTATAATAAATGATACAGAAGGGTAAAATTGTCATTTTTATTATTTAGCATAATAATTCAGAGGTTCAACCAAACAGCATGTTAGAAATTCAGATTTTAAAAATTCACTCTCTTACAAATTCAGATCTCTAAAAATTTCAGATCTTAAAAGTTCATATCCTACCAAACAACCCCTAAGTGGTAGAAAAACTTTCTAAATGATATGTAGTGACAATACATATAAACCTAATTCATATATATATATATATATATATATATATATATATATATATAAAAGGATGTTATTATATACACACCATCTAAAACACTCCATCCTGAATTTAGCCTCTAAAACTTGAACTATGTGTTCTATTTTCCGATAATATGACATGTGTATCTATACAAATATCATGTGCGGAGTTTTTCATTTTTTTTAAAGTTATTTATATTTTTTTCTTTCCCTATTGGGATATTTTTCTTTCATTTTCAAAAGTCTTTTTCTTATTTTCATTAGAATTTGGGCATGTCATATATATTATTAAAGATGTCATATATATTATGAAAGGAGAACTGCAAAAAAAATCATTAGATATTGTCCTCATAATCAATTTAGTCAATATATTTTTTTTATTCAATTAAGTCCCAAAACCGTTAATCATATTCAATTTAGTCTTTTTACCCGGTCAACATGTTATCCAACTTTCAGAAATTACACTTTCGGCCCAAATTTTAAATTTTATTACAAATTTAATCCAAAATTTACACTTTTGTCCCAGATTTTAAATTTTATTATAAATTTGGTCCAAAATTTAACCTTTTGGCATAGATTTCAGAATTTTGTTATTAATTCATCCTAACTTTAGTTTTTTTACAACATTTTTTCTCAAAAGAATTTCGAATATGTTTTTTTATTTAAAAAATCATATTTATACAAAAAAAGAACATATTTTCACATAAAAAATATTATATTTTTTTATGTAAAAACTTTTTTTAAAAACGTTTTTGTATACGAAACACCTATTTATAAAAATACGTATTTATTAAGTACATAAATATATACAAATATGTTTTTATAAAAAAATGTATGTAAACACATATTTATAAAAAAAATGTATACAAACACCTATTTCATAGTAAATATGTGTGTGTGTACTATTTTTATTCGGTAACAAGTATGATTCGACACCCAAATTTGACACGAAGGTAATGATAAGGTAAACCCCTAACAGTGAAATCTAATTTTCTTTGGAATATTGTAACTTATAACTTGGAAATTAACCCATTTTGATAGATTATTTTAGGTTTAAAACAAAAATATTACATTGTGTCTGTTGAATAAAAAAAGTTGTATGACAATAAATTTTGTTTTTTAATTTAAAGACACATATTTTTTTATCTGGGATCAAAATTCAAAATGAATTTTGAATATGAGTTATTAGTTTATGGTATTAATTCTTATATATATATATATATATATATATATATATATATATATATATATATATATATATATATATTATTTAGAGTATACATTAAGAAGGATAATTTAATTGTCCATAATTTACTTCTCAAATGTGATAACCCGAAATATTTGGATCAAACAATGTCTAAATTGTAACTCTATTACAAGGAAAACCTTGGAAGTCACATATAAGGTAACCTCTTGAAAGTAAACAAGTTTATCAAGGAAAACGAGGCAAATGAATTAGAATAAGAATCTTGAATCAAAAGATTGTCTAGTAGTATTAAGCTTAGTCTCCTCACCACCCTAGAACATGGAAGGAAATAAGAATAATGACTTAAGTCAACCTATATGGATATAAATCTGGGCAATAAGTTTTGTGGAACCATGATTGGATGTAACCTTGGCTAGTTAACAAGAAAACACCCATTAGACACCTTGTATGGAAGTTTTAGCACAATATCCCACTAAGGCCATCACCTTTGAGTGCATACTAGCTAAAAACATGAACACACCCTTGGAAAATCACCCAAAACCGTGAACACCTTCCCTTGGGCCACCCTTGGCCGTAAACCCTCTTCATTGGACCTTACTTGACCATAAACTCCCTTAGTGGACCTTACTTGACCATAAAATCCCTTAGTCGACCCCTTGGGGCGTAAACACCCTAATAAAACAAAGATAGGCTGTGAACACACCCCTAGGTAGTGCCTTGGCCGTAAACTCAAAAGGGGAAGCATTTTTTTGGCGTAAACTACTTATGGATGTGATGGTTGGGCGTAAACACAATCCTAGGAGGCATCTAGGCCGTAAACAACTCCATTATATGGAGTTCACGGCCATAATGTATGAATAAGACAAGAACAATTGACTTTAAGGTGTGACATTTCTTCCCTTCCCAAAGCAATTACAGTTAACCACGAGATATCCTCCAAATACCCATGCATTATCCATCAGTTTACCAAACACATCTTATCCCTTTCATCCTCCCTTTTTATGAGCGTAAAGTACTTCCCATTTATCACATTTGCTTTCTGTAAACTCCTAAAATCACTCCCAACGTATTCAAGCTTCAAGCCTTATTTCTTCAAAGTATTCCCTAGATCTTGTAAGTACTTCATGATTAGCTAAGTAGTTTCTCATATTATTTTGTTTATTTCATCATATTTACACATGAACTTATGTGTTAATATTCTTAGGATATTCTAAAGTTCAAAGAGTTTATCAAACTCTTCAAGTGTTAGGACTTGAACACTTCTCAACATCTATCCAAATCATCCACCAAATCAAATCAAGGTAAGCTTCATACCCCACTCATTTCAAGTTTTCATTATTATTTTTCTTTGGGGGGGGGGGGGGGAATACAAGTCAAATCTTGTCTAAATCCTTGGATAATTGCATGTATTTGTATGTTTAGGTGTTTATGTGTGTTGAAATGATATTACTTCATAATAATACTTCATAAACTTGAGATTTTACAAATCTTATGATGTTAGGACTAAGTTATCTTTGTATAGATCTACATACTTTGTATTTTATTAAACATAAAACTAAGCTACTAGGTAAATATATGATGAGTTACACCAAAATGGTAATTATTGGTTAAAAACACTTTTACCACTAAAACTTGTGCAAACTTTAAGACATAATAAATTTCATGGATTTATATGAAATTTTGGTGGAACTGGTGAAAATATTTTAGTCACAACAAGAAAGAATATTTTTTTGCAAAGATCTTCACAAAATTTTGGGTATGTCACAACACTCTACAAAACATGGTTATTTTTCTAAAAATAAATGTCACTAGTAAATCAATCATGCTACATTGCTACTATTTCTAGGGTTTTGAAACTTGGAACATTATGTCATATTCATAACTTTTTGCAAGTTAACAAACTATTAGTTATTATTTATAAATATTCGCATGTCATAAAACTTTCAGAAACACAAGTGTTAAACTGTATGTCATAAAGCAGAAAAACGCGTGTCATAAAAATGCAGTCATAATTTTTACCCATGGAAAACAATATTTGCATTATTTAACAAAGGAATAAAAATTTGTGTACGTTCCATTATGGCTCTTGTGAGACTAGTTTTGTTTTCGCCGTACCTATCTAGGTACATTGTAATTCCTGTGTTAATAACCAGAGTCCCCTGGAGGGGGAGCGGGATAATTGTGTATAGATCTATACGAGGTTGACACCCCACACATGTGCTGTTCGCTACAGCTAGACCGGCCAGTCTAAGGTGACAAATATCTGGACCATTGTAATGCCCCGATTCTCAGGTATCGATTTTATATAATAATTTTCTTGATTTCAAGGTCTACTCGACGAGTTGGTTTCCCTACTCGTCGAGTAGCAGCGGGTTGGTCCGCGTGTTTTTAGTGACCTACTCGTCGAGTCCAAGAAGGGACTCGACGAGTAGGATCTGGCAGATGAAACCCTAAATTTTGGGGAATTGCATCCTATTTAAGGACCACTTATTTCCCTTAGCCTCTCTTACTACCTCCCTTGAGTTCAGAAACCCTAATTAGTGGTTGCTCTCTATAAATTGTGTGCTCTTTAGCTTGGAAGAGGGATCCTTGGAGTAAAAGCTTGGAGTTCAAGAAGTTTGAAGCAAGGGGCTGTTGTAGATCCGGATTTTGTCTTGGCATCATTTTGGCCTCCAAAGGCTCAGGGGCATGCTTTCCAGTTGACCGCAGAGGAGGCCAGGGCAGCACTAGATGTGGTTGCTAGTATGTTTCTCTCCTTATTTCATTTATTATAATTGTATTATGCTTATTTATTGTACCTGTGATTAGGTACGTTTTTATTGAACTCTTTTCCTGCTTTGGTTTTATTTGACTCGGGAGCGAGTCGGTCCTTCGTATCTCAGTCATTTAGTAGGGAGTTCAGTGTGCTAGTGGGCGAGTTAGAGTGTCCCTTGCGAGTCTCTATCGCCAACGAACACGGGGTTTCTACTTCTTTAGTTTATCGAGGGTGTGAGTTGGAGATTTTCGGGGTGTCCTTTCCGATAGATTTGATTCCGATCCCCATAGGGGAGGTGTGTGTGATTTTAGGCATGGATTGGCTCAGTCGATTCGGTGCTATGATTGACTGTGAAGGCCAACGAGTGGTAGTTCGAACCCCAAGTGGGGGAGAACTGGTTGTATATGGTGAGGGCACCAGAGTGGGATCAGGTTTTTGTTCAGCCGCCAGGGCTCGGCGGTATATTCAGCACGGGTGTGCGGGTTATCTAGCGTATGTGGTGGATACGCAGATCAAGGATCAGATTTCAGTTTCAGAGGTTCCAGTGGTTAGGGAGTTTTCCGACGTGTGCCCGGAGGAGTTGCTAAGGATA